CAAAAATGAGCTGTGCATTCTAAGGGTGAATCCAAACTGGCCCAGCGAGGGTGTTGTGGGATCTCATCTGTGCCCTGAGAGGTGTTTGTGATGGGTTCCTGCACTGCTGCCCTCCTGGGGCTGGGGTTGCCTTTCTCAACCTGAAAATGAAACTCRAGATGATTTTAGGACRGSAGGTGATGTAAAATTGGGTTTTTGTTGGGGCAAGCCATGGGAGAACATCCACAAAAGTTCACCYCAGTGGGGGTGAAAATAGTTTGATGTGTTTTAGGAAATTAGCATAATTGATAAAGAGCACCAATTAGGAGGAGCAGTGGTGATGCAATTTCCTCCAGGTCAAGCYCCTTCTCTGGAGCTCCCCACCYTCTGTCCCAGCTGTATTTTTTTAATGAAAATGGGTTTGAAGTCYTTGTTCTCAGYCTTGGATCCCAGRAAGAGCCAGAACAGGAGAGGGACCTTGTGCCSCMCAGGACTCAGAGCTCTGGAATGGGTTTGGTCTTTACAATTGAGGAGAAGGGTTGGGAAAAGTCCTGCRAAGGTGACAGATATAGGAAATATGCAAATATAGAAAAGGAAAAAGGCAAAAATCACTCCGGCATCATTGTAACGTTTCCACCCCAAAGTGCCCTCACTCAGCCTGACCATCAAACCCCTCTCACCACCCAGATGGGATCTGTGGACTTTTCTGTGAGGTTCCCCCATGGAAAACTCCTTGTCAGAGTGAATCCAGCAGGATCCTACAAACGTGTAATGTTCTGGAGAGCACAGCAAAAACCCAGAGAAACAGCGGCAGCAGCTGAGCCAACTTCAGCAGTTAAAGTGAGACATAAAACGCTCAAAAAGAGAGATAAAAGCCTCTCTTTAAACCAYTACAACGAAATTTAAATCCCTGCGTGCGCCTCCATCCTGTGAGGACCACACGTTCCGAATTGCTCTCCTTTCATCAGCCCCTCCTGGAACCATCAGACATTTGTTCTCTCGTTTGTTCTCATCTTCTGCAGTTAATAGGACACCAATTCGAATTCTCTGCTGCTCGGAGTGGTTCCATCACGGCTCCCTGGGCTTTAATGACACTCCTGTGGATGCCAGCCCAGGGCTCAGCTTTGATCACGGAGACGTTAACCTGGAAATGCGGAGATCAGGGAGATTTGGGGAACATCGTTTTCCTCGCTGAGCAGAAATCCTCCCGGGGTTTCCTTGTCAGAGCGAAGCGATGTGAAATCATCTCCCAGGGCTCTGGGTTGTGCTGGATCAGGCTCTGCTGCTGTGGCAGAGCCCTCGGAGGGTCCTGAATCCACGACCACCAAAACATTTGGGTGTAWTTCTGGCAAATTTCTCCCTAACACCCGGATAAATCACTCCTGACCCCGCAGCTCTTTCCTCARTGGAAGTGAGATTGTGGGGAAGCTGTTTGACCTCACTGGTGCATTCTCCATCTTCAGCCCCTACTGGGAAGGTGCCATTCACCCCTCAAAAATTGTGTTTTTAACAGGATTTCACCACAGAGATATTTTTGTTCCAGGAATGGGTAAAAAAACAGTGGCGGGCAATTTTGTTGCAGGGTGTACAGAAAACCCCTGTGCTGAAAGATGTAATTTAAATATTGATTTGGGATGGCTGAGCCCTGAGAACAATCCAGCATTGTTGGGGGAAATGATTTGCTGCTGTCGATCCGTCAGGATGAAAATGTCCCCGTCAATCTGTTGGAAAAATGTTCGTTGAACAAGAGCCAACTTCTTCTTCTTCTCCTTCTTCCTGAATTTGCATTTTGCATATTCCCATTAACTATTTATAGCATTTTATATATATATATATCTATAGATATAGATATATATATATAGATATATAGATATAGATATAGATATAGATATATATAGATATAAATACATATATAAGAAATAGATATATATAAATACATATATATATACATTTATATATTTGAATTCCCATATATTTCATGCTTGAATTCTTACACATCTCACATTTCTTCAGCTCGAGACACRTAATTTAAGTGAAAAGATTGGTGATCAAGAGGAGGAAAGGCACATCATAATGATGTTTAGGCTCTTGAGGGAATCGGCCTCTAATTCTCAGGATTATTGGCAAAATAACCCACCCCCCCCCCAAAAGCCCCTCTTCCCAAACGGGATGCAGATTCTGTGGCAGTTGAAATGTGTGTTATTAAACTCCTTGAGCAAACCAGAATGGCTCCCAGTGGAGAGCGAAGACATTCTAAGTATAGCCAAGACTAAATTCTCAGGTCTGGGTTTTCTCTGCTCAATTCCCACTTGATTATCTCCCGTAATATTTAAACTTCGTGCCATGTCATAATTATTTAATAAAAAGTAAATATAAAATGGATCTCAGTGGGGGAATGTGACCTTTTACCTTCATGTTGTTACACCAAAGGCAGGCGGGGATAAACAGGGAACCTGGATGGGTGGAAAAGCCGCTCTCCCTTGATGGGTACATCCTCCTGTGAGAATATTTCAGGATATTTTGGATGATCCAATAAGATCCATCAGCATCAGGGTTGAGTTGTAATCAGGGTTTTTCGGCCATGCCAGTGCCACCAGTTATTTTTTAAAATTGAGATTATTTTCCCCAAAAAGAACCACAAATGGCACAGGAGGGTCCAAGCCAGCACTGGCTGAGGGTGTTGCTAAAGGACTCGCATATGTTCCTTATTAAACGTGTYGTGAAATTCTTCGCAGGATCCTCAGCATGAATGTGCTGTTTGTGTTAAAACGTGTGTTCCGAAGAACGGGGAAATTCAAAGGAAAAGCCCCCCGTGATTGTGCTGGTGCTCAGCAGCACTGCTGATGTGTCAGAGGCAGGCAGAGCCCCAGCACACAAAACGCTGCGAGGTTTTGGGTTCTGCTCCAATTTAAATTGGAGTTGGAATTATCAGAAATCTGATTATTATAATTATTATTATTATTATTATCATTATCATAGTTATTTTCACTGYGATTTCCTACTGAAAGTGTCTGAACTTCGCTGAAATCTCAGCAATGCCAGTAGGGTTCTGCCAGCTATCGCTAACCGAGGATCTGGGTCAAAATATCCTGGTTTATCCACCAGAGATTCAGATCATTACGGGGAAGTGGCGGCGTGTGCAGAACGCACSATGGGGAGGGGAGCGTGTCTGATGAGGAGCTGTGCCCTACTTTGGGCTGTAAAACGTTGAGGGTGGGTGTGGAACGAGTTTGTTCGAGGAGCAAACCCGGCTCTCAGATTTCTTACTCTGTAACCAGCAGCAGACCTGTCCAGGGGTGGGTTTTTCTCCCAATTTGCTCTGTCTCTGTCGTGGTGACACCTGATTGGGTTTTACCTAAAACACAGGCCAGACAGAATTCAGAAAATCAAAAGAAAATTTCTGTTGATTTCAGGGCCTTCAGGGCCATTGAGGGCAGTCCCAGCCCAGCCAGGGGCTGCACCCACAATGGACCATGGCTCACGGGTTTTTCACCCTTTCTCACTTTTGTCCATTTGCACATGGGGCCTGAATCCTCCAATTGCAGCTGCAGCCAATGCAGTCAAAAACTCCAACTTGGCTCCCCCCAATTCTCTGTTCTTTCCATCTCTTGGGGCCTGGCCCAGGGAGGTGTCCTTGAGTTTGGGGCTGCAGAGGAATTGTTTTGTGTCAAAATGGGAGAGCAGGAGCTGGGAACTGTCTGTGGAGTCTGGAGTTAAACACTGGAGAATTCCAGCATTGCAGATACRTGGAARTAGAGAAATTAAAATCCCGAGGCATCACTGGTTTTGTCCAGAGTGAAACCCTTAAAGGAGAGTCAGCCAGGGGAACTGGAGCAGTTTCAAMAGCAGAAGTTGTGGTTTCTCTGTTCCCCTGTTGAGACAGAGCCATACAAAAACACCCGTTTAGATACACTCCAAACATACATGTAATTCCTGTAATTATTCACATGTAACATGATGGGGTTTGATGTGCTGCTTCCAGCTTTGAATGAACCGACCATCGATTACGGCTTCCAAAGGCTGCAGAAGGTCATCCCGAGGCATCCTGGTGACCCCGAAAGATTAGCCAAGGTAAAATAATTTTACGCACTTCTCTCACCGCACCGAATTTGTCCTTTCACTTCTAATTCATTAAAAAAAAGACCCAATCATGTCTTAAATGACCATCCCACCTGAATTGCCATTTATTATTTCCAACCAATGTGTTGTGAGTCCAGCAAGAATGGGTTTGTGTAGAACCCACAGTGATTTTTATGTGTTAGAGCTCAGACCCTCTCGGGGTAATTTTGCTGCCCAGAGAACATTCCCGKTTCGTTGTCCTTGTCCCTCACATTTATCCCTGGTGACCAATCGCTGACCCCAAATGCCATGAATCGAATCCAACCCTCACTCGTGTGCCCGGGCTGAAGGATCCGCGGGAGTCCCCTGGGGACCCGGGACACCGGGGATGGTCCCCGCTCGTGGGGCCGGGAGCGGAGTGGGTTCAGGACTCTGGAGAGCTCCGAGTCCCGGAGGAGCCCCGCACACGGCGCGGCCGAGCCGGGGATCGCCCCGAGGGCTCCGGAGGGACTTCGAAGGGACTCCTGGGTTACGGAAGGGCTGCTCGGACCCGCTGTGGGGGCTCCCGTTCCTCAGACACCTGAAAATAACCCCTGGGGAAGGTGCCCAGAGCTCAGAGTGACCACACACAAGCGCTGGAGGCATTTGAGGGAACGATGGCTCATGGTTTTTATTTTATTTATTTAATTATTCTATTCTATTCTATTCTATTCTATTCTATTCTATTCTATTCTATTCTATTCTATTCTATTCTATTCTATTCTATTCTATAAGTCTATTTATTTTATTTATTTTTATTCTTTTATTCTATGTATTGTATTTTCTTCTATTTTCTCTTAATGTTCTTTATTTCATTGTTTCACTATTTTAATTTCTATTTCTTTTATTTATTTGTTTTATTTACTTTTATTTCATTTATTACATTTTTATTTTATTTACTGAATTTATTATATTTATTTTCATTTATTACATATGTATCTTTATTTGATTTATAGAATTTATTTTAGCTTTATTTATTTTCTATTTTATTTCATTGCCATTATTTTATTTATTTGTATGTTTTCATTTTTTCATTATCTATTTATTTCTCTTTATTTTATTTAACTGAGCTATTTTTTTTGCCCGTAAAAACCCTCTCTCCTCTCCCCCTGCAGGAAATGCTGCTGAAAAGAGCCGCTGACCTCGTGGAGGCCCTGTACGGRACCCCCCACAACAACCAGGTCAGGCTGGTGGGGGTGGGACAGCCCCAAATCTTGGGAAAGTCCCAAATTCCTTTTGGTGACAATGGGACAGTCCAGCCCCAAACCCTGGAAATGTCCCCAAATCCCATTGGTGACAGGGACAAGGGACAGTCCAGCCCTAAACCCTGGGAATGTCCCCCACTCCTGCTGATGACAGTGGGACAATCCAACCCCAAACCCCAGGAATGTCCCCAATTCCTGTTAGTGACAGGCACATGGGACAATCCTGCCCCAAACCCCGGGAAAGTCCCCAGTTCCTGTTGGTGACAATGGGACAGTCCAGCMCCAACCCAAATCCCATTGGTGACAGGGACATGGGACAGCCCCAAACCCCAAAAATGTCCCCAGTTCCTGCTGGTGACAATGGGACAGTCCAGACCCAAACCCTGGAAAAGTCCCCAATTCCCATTGGTGAGAGAAATGTGGGATGTGGGACAGCCCAAACCTGGGAATGTCCCCGATTCCCGTTAGTGACAGGGACATGGGACAGTCCAGCCCCAAATCCTGGGAATGTCACCAATGGGACAGTCCAGCCCCAAACCCCAGGAACGCCCTCCACTCCATTGGTGACAACGGGACAGTCCAGTCCCAAACCTCAGGAACGTCCCCCATTCCATTGGTGACATGGGGGTGGGACAGCCTCAAACCCCAAAAATGTCCCCTATTCCTGCTGGTGACAATGGAACAGTCCAGTCCCAAACCCCAGGAACGCCCCCCACTCCATTGGTGACAATGGGACAGTCCAGCCCCAAACCCCAGGAACGTCCCCCATTCCATTGGTGACATGGGGGTGGGACAGCCCCAAACCCCAAAAATGTCCCCTATTCCTGCTGGTGACAATGGGACAGTCCAGCCCCAAACCCCAGGAACGCCCCCCACTCCCATTGGTGACAGTGGGGTGGGACAGCCC